TTTAGAAAATTATGTGAGGCCCATGCAAAGGAATGTCGGTTCTGTGTTACAACTTACTCCATAGGGGATCACCATTAAAATCAGTTGCGCTGCTTGAGTTTACACGGAAAGAAGAAAGACATTGGAAAAAAAGGACTGGAAAATAAGGGATCATGTTGCCATAATACTATTTATTTTTGTTACAAAGTGACATTTGAAATCAAGTACGAAGTTGAAAAAATTAGTTACTAAAATTTTACTAGTTCTCGATAGCATAACCCTTGATTGGTCAATTTCACGTCTAGTGAAAGGATATTTTGACTTGAAGGATACAGTGACTTTTTTGCATTAAAAGTAAATGGTTTTTATGTATTGTTTTATTTAATAAAAATATTTACAATGAGATTACTTATTTTTGGTATAAAGTCACAATTGTCATTGACAGTTAGATTTGAAATGGGGTGGTTGAGAATGTGTCACTGGTACAAAGTGCAAAACAAAATTTTTCAAATGTCGTGAAACACATTCATCGATTAGATTTCTCCTTAATGGTTAAAAGTGATTGTGGCGTCTTTGTATTTCAAATAAATAATTTCATATATAATCCCTTGTCTTTGTATTTCAAATAAATAACTTCATATATAATCCCTTGTTTAATATCTTGAGGTTTACGCATTTTAGCACCTTTTAAAGAGCACTTCTTATGTGTTGACTTGCGCACCCTTCTCCAAATGTTTTTCACTCCCACAGCCCCAACATTGCTATAAACTATGTGATCAAAATTTTTTATACAGAAAAATGTGGTGTAATCCATGCTTGACGGGATAACACAACGATAGTGCATTATCACCGTCGAATAAAATGCGTTCAACAATGATGGTGCAATATCAGCATGAGTATAGATAAATGGTTAACATTAGACACGTTCTATGGGACCTGCTCCCTCCATTGCCCTCAAACCCAGTAAAAATGGTCATGCTATTGTCATGACCATATGGACCATACCATGGCCCCTTGTATGTTCCCTGCGGAGTACCAAACTCACCCTATCACGAGTATCGGTTGCTCTTGGTTAGGGTAAGAGGAACGCTTATGCTGCTGACAATCTCTAGTTTCGTGCATTGGTTCATGCACACCATGTGAGATTATGCGGAAAAGAAAAGACGAATATGCTATCCTTTGTGATGAAAGTACACACGTTACGATAAACTAGGGTTTATGAAATAAGTAACGATTTCATCAATTTTCGACAGCAGAGATGAAGTCTACAAGTGTTCCCTTTCTTCTCATGTTGGTTTTTATCTCTGATTAGTTTCTTGTCTAGTCTTTATAAAATAATTGTAAAAGTTTTAGCAGGGAGATTTAAGTTGGTTCTCCCTTTTGTGATATATGATGAATAATTAACTTTCATTAGAGACCGCATAATCGCGGATTGCATTCATATTGCCCAGAAATGCATTCACTCTAGAAATCGTTTTGAGCAGTTGGGAGTGGTTATTAAATTGGATATGAAGAAGACTTTTGACAGAGTTGAATGGCAAGTGCTTAATGAGATTTTGAGAAGAATGAGTTTCGGTGTCAGATGGAATTTTTGGAATATGGGATACATTTCTTCGGCCCATTTCTCGGTTCTTATTAACGGATCTTCTAAGGGGTTTTTTCATACTTCCAGGTGCATTAGATAAAGAGACCCTCTATCTCATTTTCTTTTTACCTTAGTAGCATAAAGTTTTAGCCTGATGTTTAAGAATGTTGTAAATGCAGGTCTTTTTACAGGTTTTCAAGTTTTCTCATCTGGGCCTACTATTTCACATTTGCAATATGCAGATGACAACCTGATTTTATGTGATGTTAAGGAAGAGAAAATGCAGAATCTGAGCACATTCCTCCTATGCCAGCTAGCTTTGGGCCTCAAAGTAAATTTCTATAAGACTTCAATTGTGAGCATCTCTTGCTCTAACAGCCTTTTCGATTCTCTTGCTTCAATTTTGAGTTGCAGAGTTGAGAAGTTTCCCCTTAAATATTTAAGGGTTTCTATATCTGATCGTAAGCTCACTCGTGAAGCCTAGAACCCTCTTATTCACAGGTATCAAGCTAAATTAGACATATGGAAGACCAAGACTTTATCTTTTGGTGGACGTATCACTTTGGTTAAATCCAACTATACACATCTTATTTTTTTGATGTTAGTCTTACAAATGCCTAGTAAAGTTATCATGCTTATTGACTTCATTTAGGGTAATATGGAAGATAACCACAGAAAGTTTCTTTTGGTGAATTGGGATCAAGTTTGTATGCCATCAAAACTAGGGGGTTTGGGTATCAGAAAACTTAAACTTGTAAACTGTGCGCTTCTATCCAAATAGTAGCACAGAATCTTTCAAGGCTCTTTTCATCTCTAGAAAGATGTGCTAGTTACTAAATATGGTTTCGATCATCTCACCTACTTGATTAAAAAAGGTAGATGAGGTAAATTCACCTCACAGATTTGGAAGGATATTTATAGATATAGAAATATTGTTTTCAGCAACATCAGATGGCTTATTGGCAATTGAGATAAGTAACACTCTTTTGGTTTAACAAATAGCTTGGTGATGCACCCCTCTCTTCTACTTGTCCTAACCTCTTTGCTAGAGTTGTGCAACTTGATGCAAAACTTTCAGAGTTGTTTTCTCTCCCCTCTAATTATATGGTTTGGAATATCGGATGTCGCTACAATAGGCTACCAGATATGGTTATGTCGTAGCTTCATAATCTCCTCCAATAGCTTGAACAAGTTTACATCTCTTCTAATGCTGAAGACTTTGTCATATGGGAATTAGAAACCGACAGACTTTTTTTTGTCAAATCAATGTATAGGCTTATTTTTATGGATCAGGTCCGTATTGTTGATAACTTTTTAGGTTTTATTTGGAAATGACCAGTTCCAGTTATAATCCATGCCTTTCTATGGATCGTGTGTCAAAGGAAATGCCTAACAGTTGACAATCTGCAAAAGATGGGTAAATTTTTTTCAAACATTTGCTTGATGTGCATAAATGATGAAGAATCTTGCTCTCATCTTTTCCTTCACTATCCTTTTTCCTCTAGCTCATGGCTTTGGGCCTTCTCTATATTGGGTTTTTTCCTTATGATACCTTTGAATCTCAAAAACATTATTAATCATCTTTCTGCCATTGGACTACCTAAAAAAAGAGTTGTGATTTGGAAAATTTTCAGAAGTGCAATTTTATGGCAGATTTGATTAGACCGTAAGAGGAGAACCTTTGATGGGGTGTCCCGGAGTATTGAAAGGGCAAAAAATCTCATTTTACAATTTCTTTGGAATTGGTTTTCCTCAAAGTCTGAAGAACGGGTTGCTCTTCGGACTGATATTTATATCAATCTGAAATTTTTGGCTCATTTTTTTTCTCACTCTAGCCTCCCCCTTAAAACTTGGATTGCACATCTAGAAGCTTGCCTCAAACTTATTTTTAGTGGCAGCTCATTTGGAAATCCAGGGCCTGCAGGTGTTGATAGGCTTCTTGCCAACAATTTTGGATGGTCTTTTTTTTCTTATTTGGGTCCTTATCGGTCTACAACAGCCAATCATGCTGAATTGGTTGTTCTTCTTCAAGGCCTTCATACTATCATTGATAGGTGGTTCATTGGTGATATTATAATTGAAGGGGATTCCCTGAATGTTATCAAGTGCTGTAGAAAAGAGCAAAAGATCCCCTGATCTCCCTATTTACCCTTTGGTTAAAAATTCAAGACCTATATGCCTGGCCTAATTTGAGGATAAGGTTCGGCCACAACATAGGGCGAAGCCAACGATGTTGCTGATGGGCTAGCTAAACATGGTATTTCTCTTCCCTTTTTGCAAGTTTCTAACAATTTGATCCAATCTTTGTAATCTCATGCTCTTTAAGCATTGTTTTAATAAAAGTTCGTAACATTTGTCAAAAAAAAAAAAAAAATACTCCTCTTCACTAATTTTTAGTTTTTTAGTGTTTAATACTCCTCTTCAATATTTCACTATTCTGCTAGGTGGATGAAATTTTGTGAGCTTTATGCTTTTGCCTATGGGCTTGTTTCCTGTGAGCTTTATGCTTTTGCCTATGGGCTTGTTTCCTGTATGCCTTCGCCATTGATGTGTTTCGGGGTAGAGAGGCTCCCCTTTTTTCTCTTTGATATTTGGTTATTTGCTTAGTTTTTTTTTTTTTTTCAGTGTTTTAAATCGCATATCAGGCAAATCGGTCAATGGTTGGACTGACTGGACCACCCGTCTATAGAGAATTGGACCGATTCTCTAGTTTGCAAAATAATATTTTAAATTTAAAAATTAATAAAAAATAAATTGGATAGGAACCATGCGATTTTGGCTGAGTGCAATGTCCAATTCTTTGACAAAAACTAGGTGAGTCACTTTGAATAGGGCCGACTCCTCATTCTAGGTAAGAATCGCCCAGGTACCCATTGATTCCAATTAGGATCAGCGATTTCCAATCTAGATGTGTGATTTTTTAATTCTTGATTTTTCTTGTGAAAATTATCCACACATTAATTGTGCAAATTTGTCTGAACTACTTTAACTAACCATGTTTTTGTTTGTCCAGGGGGCAAAATGGCAGAAGAAAACAAATTTTGCATGTCGAAAGTTTCCAATGGCAGAAGAAATCAAATTTTGCATGTCGAAGTTTCCTTTGGAGACATGCGATGACACGGGAGATGCTTGCATTAACTGTTGTTGGGCAAACCATAGGAGTGCACAATAGACTATTACTGCTTATGTACCTACATTTGCTGAAATTGAACACTTGTGGGCGGCCGCCCTAGCAATTCTGCTGTGATTGATCCATTGATAGTGGCGACCGAGGCGAGGGAGAGACATTGGCAAGTTTGAGAGCTTGGATTTTGGCAGTTTATTTTGAGAGAGAGAAAGATTAGAAGTTTTAAGAACTTCAATTTTGGTAGATTGAGAGTGTGCGGTAACTGTGGTTAGTCCTTAAGCTTCGTGAGTTTGTTGCCATCGGGAGATATGAACAATTTTAATCGAGCCATGCTTTGGATGTGATGGAATGAGCAAGTGCATAATCATATGCAAATTATCTCCTTCAAATTTAAAAGTAAATCGATTATTTGTCTTTGTTTTGGTGAATGAATATTTGTTTTTCTTACCACGAATCGCGTCTAAAATGAATCTGTTCGGATTTTGAAATCAGGGGTAACGTTTGGCTTTTTCCCAATTACAATTATTTTTAGGATAAAGTTTATATAGAGCCAAGGCTCTAAACAATCAAATTTAAACGTACCTCAAAAATCTCACTAGAAGAGGTTGTTTTAATATCCAAATAGCTTCAAATTGATCATCTCAAGATACATGGAGATGAGAAAAAAATGGAATTCAAATTTTGAAAATAATATATTTTGTAATACATTTTTTTACCGTTAATTTTCAAGATTTTCAAGTTTTCATAGATCCATCAATCTTCACTATTTTTGAAGCTTTAAACTTTATAAATAAATATAAAAATACATTTTAAATCTATCACAAAGATTTCCAATATTGAAATCACATGTCTCGACACTATTTGAAGGTAGGTTTTAATTCGATTGTTTAGAGCCTAAGCTCTATACAAACCGTACCCTTATTTTTAAAGCTTAAAAAATAAATAAATAAATAAATAAATCCAAAAAAACTTGGTTGGAAGTAGTGAGAAAAAATATGGAGACTTATAGTCTCAGTGAGAATATGATCCTTGATAAAGCTGAACGACGGACTAGAATTTGTATAACCCATCCCAAATAGTTGAGAAAAAGCTCTGATGATAACCTAACACAGTTTTGGATCCAAAGTCCCACTCCAACTTGAGTGGACTCGCTGCAAAAGGTGCTTCAGCAGTCGCACAAGATATGTATCAGGAGTATGCTGGGGGCTTCCTCCTATAATTTCCTGTGGGCACTCTCACTATAGGAACATAAATTATGAGACTATCATGATTGAGAACAAATGTGTTAGCAGACACACTAGACGGGAATCACAGGGAAAAGAAAAAAGTCAGGAAAACCAACACATGCAGGAGGCTTGAATTGTAAAAAAGCAACATTTAAATGATAATTTATTTGCTTTTCATAATACGATACATGATACCGAGGTAAATTCACGTTCAAACTTGAAGGCATGCATGTCAATTGAATTGGAAAGCTTGTCACCATGCATCTCTAACAACATTGTTGACAGGGTAAGCTGTAGAATCGACCTAGAAGCCTAAAGGTTGACAAAGCTCTCTGAACCACTAGGCCAGTCCTCTCAACTCCAGACGTGCGTGGATCAGTTGATGTCAAACTGTGATAGAAGCAAGACATCACAGGCTGATGTCCTAACCTGATTGACAAAAAAAAACAAATGAAAAAGAGAAAGGTTATAATTAAAGGAAAAGGAAATGATCGAGGCAAAGGTTATAATCGAAGGAAAAGAAAATGATCAAAGCATCATCAAACCAGAAATGAACTCTGCCAGACCAGGATGATTTGTTTTATTCTTTGTTCTCTTTCATCACTTTTCTCTTTGTTTAATCCCTTAAAATTTGAGGTGTTTCTACTAAAATACATGTCAGCCTCTAAACTTCCCACGTTGTTCACTCGCAGAAGTGGAAATACATCTCCAATACGTTTTGAAAGCTCGTACAAGATGCACATGTGAGACTCAGTGGCTACATGTAGCATTACAAGCCAAAAAGCAAGGCAACAGATAGCATGAAGATTTCTTTATACAGCCCATAAGCCGACCACTTCAGAAGGGTCCACAGAGAGACACAGTCAAATAGGAAGGGACATTCGTGCTTTAGGAAGAGACGAAGGTGTTTGTTATTAGGGGGAACACTGAAGCTATCTGTATAGATAGATTTCAGAATCTTGTTCTAACAATGTTGTTTAAGTGTAGAACACGACTTCTTTTGGTTTAGATCTATATTCTTCCTCTGATTGAGGTGTCTGACGATCAAGGCACTCAAGTGAGATATCCTGTGGCAAGGAGTAAAATTTACACTAGTGCAATCATCTCTAAATGCATGGCGAGGAATTATGCATTCTTGTGGTCAGCACTTGAAGAGTTCTCAACTTGTAAGCATTTAAAAAGAGGTCCTAAGTAGGACATGAATACAGGAAGTATGCCTTTGATAATTGCAGCTTCAGAAATGGAAATTGGGGTTTTCTTTCCAAAGCATGATATGGAGAATATTGCACCAATTTTAGGACAAACGAGGTCTTAGGAAGAGAAGTGCGTCATTTCAAAATTTCTAATTAGCTTCAATAGCAAGAGATTAGCAAATGAGTAACATGGAAAGCTTCTCAAAAATTTAAATGGGGTAATATGTATTTGCTTGATGTACCTGAAGCCCTAAACATATTTTTAAGTGTTCAAAGTAGAAACCCATTGAGGATCTGAAAACAGAGTGAGAGGTTTCGGGAAAGCCAATCAGGTTGGGTGCATCAAAGCTTCAATGATATAAGCATAGCAATACGAGTTTTCAATCCAGCTACATTATCAGCAATTAGGAAGGCAAAGAGATTGTCAGTAGTGTTGGTTCAAGCGTTCAGGGCCAGGCCCAAACACTTGCTTCCCCATCTTAGACATCTTTCAAAATTTCTTTTATTCTGATAAGTGCATCCCTATAGGATAACTAAATGAAAATTTTGAGAATTGGAAAGCTGTGGAATTTAGAAGCAACAGCCAAGCCACATGACTGGTGTCTTAGCACCAAAAATATTCAACTAAGCTTAATGTCAGGAACACCCATAAGCAAGCATTAAGAATTTCTGAGAGAAGTTGAATGCTATGGAACTTAAAGCAGTTAGCAAAAGCAAAAATCGACCTACACAAGTGATGTCTTAGCATTGAAAGTATTGGACTCAGCTTAATATCATGAATGCCCAAAAGCAAACAGTAAGAATTGCAGAGGGAGTAAGCAAACAATGAGCAACATTTTCCCAGCAGAATGGACTAAACCCACAAGGATACAAGAGGCAGAAGATTAATCCCAGACCCCCTCAACATAAGACAGTTCTGTAAATGTGATGTAAGAAATATACAGGTGTCATACCTTAACAATGAAAATAAATGCCAGTGAGAATTAAAAAGAGCAGTCAACACACCGTTAGCTCCCACATGTACACCAAAGGTGCAAATATAGCACCAACAGTTGATAGTATTCTTTTTCACACGAATATCACAGATAATGCATGCAGCTTCACAGCAGTAAATTCTAGTACAACGAAGTATATCTACTAGCATAAAGAATTATGCTTCCTCGGCACTGTCATTCATTTAATTTTGTAATGTTAAGTGTTATTTGAATTGGAAAGAAAAGCACAAGCAGCAGCTATTAATCAATTTTGGAAATTCAGAACGGATACAGATAAATACCTTGATTCCAGCTATATTAAACTTTATACTCAGTAACATGCAACCATTTTGTTGACGACCATTTATTCCCTTGTATCACAGGGCAGCCAGCTGTTGAAAACCGAAATACAGAACGTAAATACAACACATAGGACCAGATTTAGACTTGATCACTACATAGAAAAAAGGGACGCAATAACAGGTGCAAGATAGATAAATTAATATACCAAAAGAAGTCAAATCACAATAAATGAATGATACAATAAAGTTGGGGTCGCCATCGTTCTACATAGTTTTCACAAAATACCTCCGTTTTGTTTTTTTGAGAAATTTTTTTTCACGAGATACTGACCATGCAAACTTGACGGATCAAGTGTGGCATCAGGTCTCATGCTCCAGAACAACAAGGCATCTCCCATTCTTGGCCTTACAGATACCCCAGTTTTCGCACAGTCAGATAACTCATCCCACCAAGGTACCGAACTGCTGTTTACCTTGGATGAAGGAAACACAGTCTCTCCCCCCTTTTCCACATTTGTACTGTATGATCAAGAGTAAAATCAAGTGTGATTTTTTTTTTTTTCACTACATTGTTTGGAGGAAAATTTTTGAGCAACAACCAGAAATACAGCTAAACTTACAGATACATAAGCACGGTAGCTATTCTTTGACCACCATTTTTGGTGTTGAATTCATCAAGAAAGTAGTCAAAATGGGGTTCATATTTCTGTCCAACTTCATAATGGAGAACTTGAAGCCCCTCACCATGTTCTGAAAACAAAGCTGGTCTTAGTACAAAATATGTACGCTATGCGAAGAGAAATCTTGAGATCTAAGTCTCCATCCAAAATTGAACCTTAAAGAGACATAAAAATTCCATTCTATGTCAACTGAGTGATTTTGATACCTGTTGCTTACCCCTTAAGACGCCCCCACCTTAAAACACAAGATATCAAGAAATAGTAACTAGATTGCAAAGGTCAAGAGCTGAATGTCAAACTTAAGCTATATGACATGCAAACAGTCATAAAATGAAATAACACCAAGTGACCTAAACATAGAGAGCTCACACATAATACAGTTGCCTTTAAGTAAGAAAACCCCATGTTTGCAGATGACAACTAACATTCTTGGTTTTCAGCTAATAGACAGCCCATGCAAGAATCAAGAACAACAAGTGATTATGTTTGTCTAACGACACGAAGAGTTCTAAGCTACTTTAAAAAACATATGGCTACTTCTACTTGTCTGCACCTATGAGGCTCCTCAAGCAGCACGGTCCCAAATCAGACAGCACAGTGGAGCTTAGGCATTATTCTGGCAGCAGCAACATTTTAAAGCTAATGCAAAGTCATGCAACTATGCAAAGTGGATGGGGAATGTTTAGGTTATATGCAGAATATGCATTTGCTTTTGCACAATCTCATTGTGTAAGGAGCATCGTTTTAATTGTTTTTCAATGTCCAAAGTAGGTTACCCGTATAAATATTTTGTCATTCTCAACATACAGATTTGTACCTAGGCCCTTCCATCAGCAAGTAAAAATTTCATCAGATGGAGAGTCAAACTACATCAAAAGCAAAGGAAGTGTGTTCCATCGCACAGATAATATGTCATTACTCCTTCCAAGGGCAACCACATCTAAATTAGCTATCCTAGCAACATGGCTAAAACGATATGTTTCTGAGCCATTAAGGTCAAGAATCCAACCCCTGAAATTCTCAAGAAGTGAATCATATTTGCTCAGAAATGTAAGTTCCAAGAAGAACTGCCAAAAACCCTAAAGAGTCATAAGCAGCTCCTTCGTCTCTGCAGTACTGACCAAGAAAAATTGACTGGACTTAAAAAGTCCTTTAGGATATTTCCACTACGATCCTTTTGAATATGTCATCGGCCAAACCTAAACCTCAAGTGCCCTTCAGGAAGCGCATTCTACCCAACACTAATAAAACTCAATTTAGCTCCTCACTGCATGCCTCTTAAGTTCTGATCTCAAATCAAGTCGTCCTCTAGGATCCATTACAAGTTCATAACATTTTGGGACTAAAAGCCAGACTCTAGCCTACTCTCCTGTATGTGCCTCCAATTTTGCCTTTTAAAGACCTTCAACTTTGCTACTTAGGTTCTAGAGCCTTGATAGGCACTTTTATGGTTGCTTGCTTGCTTCATCCACTGAATGAGATGTTTTTGGTTCCCGCTTCTATGCAACCACGATGATGAACATCATCATCATCAATGCTTTTTCCTAATTAATTGGGGTCGGCTACACGAATCCTAGTCCGCCATTCTGCTCTATTTAAGACCATACCCTCAGTGAGACCATAAGTCCCCATATCTTTCCGAACTACTTCCAACCGCGCCCTTTTGGACCTATCCTTTTCCTTTTTAAGTCCTTCCACTTGAACTAACTTGCACCTCATAACAGGTGTTGTACTTGGTCGGCGCCACACATGGCCAACCCATCTAAGTCTACTCTCTCTCATCCTGTCGCCTGTTATTACCACCTAAATTCTCCCGAATGGATTCAT